GTGTGTGTGTGAGAGATCATGACAGAAGACTGTTATCACACCACAGCAGCAGCAGCATGAGAATCAGACAGAGGGCAGCGTCTGTCATCCAGAACTGTGTGGAGACTCACAGACATTCCCACAGTCCGTGTTTGAGACGGACGACTGCATTAATAACATGCAGACAGATCAGGAGCAGACTGAGACGTCTGTGGCTACGTGTGGGCAATATAGAGCCGTCGGTCATGCAGACTGATCAGGAGCAGACTGAGACGTCTGTGGCTACGTGTGTGCAATATAGAGCCGTCGGTCCTGTTTTAGAGTTAATATACGGCTATATTCACTTTTATAAACAAACTGACTGTGTCACATTTCCAGACTGTGTGAATGAAACCATCAGGTCATGTGATCCGAACCGCATACAGTCAGCTAAAATAATCCATAATAACTCTTCCTGCAGTGAAAAAGTGTTCTGGTGTGAATCAGGAGAGAAATCTGCACAGATCAAGCAGCGTTTAAACAGCTCTAAACACATATGTGGCTGGATTTTGATGTGAGAGACAACAGGAGATGCACTTTTTCACTGGAGGAAGAGTCATTATGGATTATGGACTCTATGGTATTTTAGTTAAAAACGTCTTAATGCTGGATGTGTTTCAGCTTTTGTCTTCTCCATGAGAGTGAGCACATTTTCAGTAAATTACTATACTACTTAGTCTATACTAAAAAAAACTATGTCCCTGGCTTGAGTCACAACTCACTGTATTTGTAAGTAGTGCAGTTTTTAAAGTTCTTCCATGTGTAACATAGACAAAGAGCGAGAGGAGTTTTCTCTGTGTGCATTTTGGTTTCACCTTCTAGGTTTATCTTTACAAACACACACGCACACACACACACTCATTCTTTAGTGCTGTCACATTTACGCTCATCAATCACTCTGTGGCTATATGTGTTGTGTGAGGAGGCAGCAGCAGATAACCAGATGACTAATTAGGTGACACACAAGTGCACAACCTTGCAGTGACCTACACAAGCACATATCAGCATCCAGCTGAAAGCAGCGCATTGATAAGCGCATGAGTGAATGTAACACACAAACACACTTTAATGAATAAAGCCGGCGGTAAATAAATATCGGGAGCTGTACGCATTGCAGTGACTCAAATGCACTGCAGCTCACCACAAGCTGATTTTAATGTTGTGTCTTTCGTCGGAGCAAACGAAGATTGATGAAATAGAAACATATATACGCCGCAGCGCTTGGTAATAACTAAAGCACTCATTTATGCTAAGTGCAATATTTCTCCCGTTCGCTCTGCATCACCTCGACTTCACAACCGACTGCATTTATCCTAATCAAGCATTTGCATTTTAAAGCTGACAGACGAACTCCGTATGTAAACAAGACCAATCCTGGCACGCAAAAATGGCAGGACTAGAAATGCGAGTGGCGAATATTACATTATTCATGTAATAATGAAAACTAGCCAAATGCAAATACAATGTAAAACTCTTCAACAGACACTGACCCAGAAACCTCTGAAATCCTCTCCCTTAAAGGAATAGTTCACCCAAAAATAAAAATTTGCTGAAAACCTAATCACGTCATTAGAATACATTTGGAGAAATGTAGAATTGCATCAGTGTCTCAGCAATGGATGCTCTGCAGTCAATGGGTGCCGTCAGAATGAGAGTCCAAACAGCTGATAAAAACATCACAATAATTCACAAGTAATCCACAGCACTCCAGTCCATCAGTTAATGGATTACTTGTGGATTATTGTGATGTTTTTATCAGCTGTTTGGACTCTCATTCTGACGGCACCCATTCACTGCAGAGCATCCATTGCTGAGACACTGATGCAATGCTACATTTCTACAAATCTGATGAAGAAACAAACTCATCCTAATCTCAGATGGCCTGAGAGTGAGCACATTTTCAGCTCATTTTCATCTCTGGCTGAACTATTCCTTTAAGTGCTGTATACACAAAGCCTCCATTTATGGAAAGCCCCTAATGAGCGTTTCTCTCATGTCGTGACCTCAGGGTGACCTTTTGACCTCTGGAATCAGGGGTCGAGCCTTGAGACGGGCTCCAGACTGCTTACCAGACGTCTCGAGGGTGTTCTGCTATGATTGACGTTCCTTGAAGATTTATCTTTGAACATTTTTCTGAAGACAGAGCAATGTGAGTATTAAGGGTCCGTGGGAAGGTTACTCTGAGAGGATCTGGTGGCAAGCCAGAGGCCTAGCGACTGATTTCCGATTTCTCTGCTTCCTGGCGGAAAGAAACGTCAAAGCATGCTTTATCTAAGCGGATTGGCGAGAGGTATAAGCAGTCGAAAAACTATGACAAAGACATGTGGGAAATAATAAAGTCTTTGAAAGCTGCGTCTGTCTGACTGACAACAAAGAACTGTGATTTGCTCTCAGAGGAGGAGACGATTCGCCGTGATCCTCATATAACAGAGTAAAGTGTTTATCACAGTTAAAACAAGCTCACACACAGATCTAAATTAATCACACATTAATGCATAAAACACAGGAATATTCCACAATAAATGTAGCTTATGCTTAAATCGACAGCATTTGAGATCAGTTACCTAATTCATCTTTTTAAGGTTGGACTACTTTTCAAGGCAGATTAATTTATAGTTGTGCATTTTCAATGTAATTTATTTGCTGTTTAGGATCCTTGCATATATTATGCAAAAAACTGTTTATCTGGTTGACATGATCATGTTATAAATTGAAGTAAATTATGCTATTGCAATTATGCTTTTTAGTCACACTAGTTTTGTGTTACCTTCCCTTGTGACCAATAAATTTGGTTAAGAATTTTCAAAAATCATCTGATACAATCAAATCAAATTACATATAAACTTTAGAGAATATTAGAGATATTTTTAGATTTTAAATGTAATATTTTGCATATTTTTATTGATGTTTTTATTGATGCATATCGATTAATATTAAATAACATTTAGAATTGTACATTTAAATTTCTAAATTATAATTGAAAAATATAATTTCTGTATTTTCAACTTCTACTGAAAGTGTATCATGTTTTTAGTTTTTATAAACTGATGCACAGGTCCAATTAATCAGCTGTAATCAGCATCAGACTGTGGCATGGAGCTTAATCTGTATATTTAACCCAGAATATTGCTTTAAGAGAAAGAGAAACCATAAGAATATTTTCCTCAGCAATGGACTCCTGTGATGCTAATTCAGTCATACATGCATGCAGACAGAGAGGAAAGCCTGTGTGCCGCAGTACCTGTGGAGGCTCTAGAGATGTGGACATCTCTCCTGGACGCTCCTCTGCTCGTGTCCTCACGACTAATGCAGTCATAACAGAGCAGTGCTGCTCCACACACACGCACGCATGCACGCACGCACACACACACACACAGACACAGACACAGACACACACACACACACACACACACACACACAGGACAAAAAAAGGAAAAGGAAAGGAACACCTTTCAAGAACTGATGCACAAATATATCTGCTGGAGATTTTATTTGTCAAAAAACCCAAATAACTCAGTTGAACAGCCATGTTTAGTTATACCTGAGTTAGTCACGAGTCCCTGAGCCAAAACTTGACACACAATCACCACACCTGACGGACACACACACACACACACACACACCTCCAGACCCGTCCGCAGATGAGCGTCAGACTTTCTCACACACGTCCGTCTGCAGTCACCCGGAGAGTAAAGGGACAGTTCGCCCAAAAATGATCTTCCTGTCATCATTTACTCACCCTCATGTTGTTCCAAACCTGTGTGAGTTTCTTTCTTCTGCTGAACACAGAAGAAGATATTTTGAAGAACGTTGGTAACCAAACAGCTGACGGTAGCCATTGACTTCCATAGTATTTTTTTTTTCCATATTATGGAAGTCAATGGCTACCAGCAGCTGTTTGGTTACCAGCGTTCTTCAAAATATCTTCTTTTGTGTGAATCAGCTTAAAGAAATCCATACAGACCTGAGGGTGAGTAAATGATGACAGAACGTTCCTTTCTGGGTGAATGATCACTTTAGGAACTGAAATGAGCCATTCCTGAAGCCTCGACTGAGGAACAAAGCATTCCGAGAGAGAGGAAGAGATACCGTAAGGAGAAAATCTCCCAGCATTCCCAGCAACAGACGGATACGGCAACGGCTGAGATATTAAAATGAGCCTGTTTACACATTCACGTTGATTTGCAATGAAAATGTTTGAGAATTTACGCTCCAGCCTATTCAGTAAAGAGTGAGACCTCCACCAATGAAAAACTACAGCCAAGACACAAAAAACAACTTTCACCAAACGCATTCAATAAACAGCAAAGAGAAAAAGCTCTGATTTATATAAATGATGCCGCAGTCACACCAAACTGTGAGCATGCATCATTTCTACAAACTCTGCAATGGTCGTAATATGACGTCGCACTCTGTGGCCTCTTATTAAAAAGCATTATACAAACAAAATACACAAATATGCAATCTATTCCACTTTACAATGCAATACTGCAGATTTAAAGTTTGCTTGATTTTTTTATTCAATTTTAATGTCTTCTACTGGTCAATCAGATACAAATCCATAGATCAGAGTTCATCATTTCACACGAGCTTGTGTTTCCGTCCTCCTGCATTTGCATGCATATGACTGGAAGTGTAGCATGACCATCGCCCGAGTTGAAAATTGCAGTATTTCACTAAATATTTTGCTACAAAATGCCATGCAGGGGTTCGAATGACCCATTGCATGAATCATTTTTAACCAGTTTATTTATATGAATCTTCTAAATGAACCAATTCACTACAATGAAGCTCTACAACGTTGGAAAAGAGTGGAAAAGCTAATGTTTCAGAGACAGTTGAGCAACTACGTTAGTAGCATCACGAGTTTAGTTAGTAACTCCCCAACATCACCCACAGAACCGGGCACAGGACTTGTAATATTTCTGACTGTTCAGTGTTATGAATCACTTCTGGAAAGATGATAATGAAGCGGGCCGAACCTGCGAAGGCTTTGGATATGTGGTCTTTCTTCCACTCCCAGGGCTGGTCGTACTCCTCCGGCGGCCTCTCGTCGTCCTGCGGTAATCTGCTCTCGCGGGAACACAAGTCTCCGTCTGGATCTCCTCCGTTCTCCTCCGGCTCGTACGGTGTGTCGTATAGAGGAAGCTGCCGGACCGGACCATCTTTAGGAGCGCGACCGCCTCGGATTTCTGCCAAACGAAGAGAGGAGACGACAAAATATCAACAGTCTGTGCTGGTTTCAGCATGCTTTTCACATTTGTGACCCTGGAGCACAAAACCAGTCATAAGGGTCATTTTTTAAAATTGAGATTTATGCATCATCTGAAAGCTGAATAAATAAGCATTGATGTGTGGTTTGTTAGGATAGGACACTATTTGGTCGAGATGCAACTATTTGAAAATCTGGAATCTGAGACTGCAAAAAAATCTAAATATTGAGAAAATCATCTTTAAAGTTGTCCAAATGAAGTTCTTAGCAATGCATATTACGCAGGGCCACATTTATGCATTTAGCAGGCACTTTTATACAAAGCGACCTACGATAAAGGAACACAAGTAATTCATCACAGAGCCAACAATGCCAGGTTTATTTGAAAGCTAGAATAGGAAACAATTTTAGCAACTGAACTGATCAACACAGACTGACATTTTCAGTCAAAATCCTAAATTTCTTTTTCCAAAGTTTAAGTGTTAAGTGCTTAAAAGCTTCAGTGAAACTAACAAAAACAAGCCCAAAACAAGTCAGAATCATTGCACTGTTCTGTTGTGCTCTTTAGTGAAGTTGAAGGAGTGCCATGACGAGCCTTTATGCAAAGCATGCCTTTTGAACATTTGCACAAAGAAAAACCCATACAACTCGGCCTGAGGGGAAAAACGTCTCTAATGCATTAAACAGCACATGCACAGCACATTCATGCTTTGAAGCTTAATATGAAGCTTTCTCATGTTTAGGACAACTTGGGTCATGCGCTTTTCCCACAGAAGCTTGCTGTGTGTCCTCAGCTATATTTCAGACACGTTTGTCCATAGAAATGTGTTATTTACTCCTCTGAAGTGCAGGAAGATCTTTTATGTGCATGCACAGTGTGCAGCGATTAATTCATCAAATTCACTTTTGATTACTATCAATTTTGATTAGTTGTTGCAATTTGTTTAATGAACACCGGCCAGCCTCCAGACTCAAAGTTGGCTGATTAAAGGTGTAGAGCAACAAACACACTTGCAGAAGTGTAGCTCTGTGCTTGACCTCCAGGGGTCACTGGAAACTGGACTGCAGACATCTGTCACTCTTCACTACAAAACACAGAAATCATGTGTCACCTCTGATCAACAGACAGCGGTTTGTCCAGCGCTCTCTCTAAAAGCACAAGCATCTCTCTCTCGGGTTCTCTGGGGTGGCATGAAGCTGTTAGCAGGCGTGCTAATGGTATGTTATAATGCAGAGACGCTCATGGAATGAAATATAACACCACAGCGCTGCATAATTGCCTCTCTGCTCAGGGGAGCTCTTGCGGAAAAATGGAGAAAAGTGAAGAGACTAGAGAAAGAGAGAGATCTTCATACAAGCCCTGTCTGCAGAAGCCAGGATCGTTACATTGTACTCTTAACTAGTGATGCAATGACATTTCGGCAATCAAATTCAAATTTTCAGTTTCAAACGAAAATAAGAGGACTGAAACAATGGCGTTTTCATTAGTGTTTCTCCAATGGTATGTTTTGACTATTTCATGCACTCAGTGTCATGTCGTGCTAGATTTCCCATTTTTAAAACAATTAAACAATTAAATATGGATTCTTAAATCTCAAGATCAATCATTTTTATACACAAACATTATTTAGAGCACCTGCCATCCAATAATCACATTCAGCTTGGGGTGGACGAATATCACATCACCATTGTTTTTTTGTTTTTTTTTAGAAATATCACAGTTTTATCACGATTCTTTGTCATGTTGGTTTTACCAAACTAATGTGCCTATTATAAAGACAAAGCCTTTCAAGGTAACAAAATATTTAAAAAAAGAATGGCGGATATTTAGGCTAAAGTGGGCGAAGATAAAAATCTTTGTCATTATTTTATCTTTGTTATTAAAAAACAAGCCCAAAGATTCACATAATATACAAATAAAACAAACAGTGCTTTATTTTCAGGTACAATAGGTATATTTAACAGGAGCATTCAAGAAATTGAATGAACAAATATAAAAATAAAACACTATATAGATTGATTCCTATTAAAGCAACTGTATTGAAGTTTTTCAGTCGAGAGTAGTGAGTGATTTTTCTCTTTGTGTTTTGCTGTTTTATTAATATTAAAGGAATAGTTTGCCCCAAAATGTATTTTTATACCATCATTTACTCACTCAAAAGTTGTTTTAAATCTGAATGAGTTTCTTATTCTGCTGAATATAAATGCTATATTGAAGAATGTGGAAAACCAAACAGTTCCATAAAAAGTAACTAAGTAACAAAATTAGTTAGTTTTTAGGGAGCAACGCAACACTGTAATGCATTACTTTTAAAAGTAACTTTCCCCAAAACTGTCTACCACTGATTTAACACTGATGTGAATGTGTGCCGCATTGTACAGAATATTGAGATGAAGCGTCAGAACTGTAACTGACAGAATATGCTCTGTAGCAAGATACTGCGATATTTCTTCAAAAGCAGATCGTAGAGACATTTTTATCGTCCACAATCAAAAATCATCATTGTCGGCATTCAGCTGTTACATCTGATATCAAACAAAGTATCAGCTTTCAAATGATATATTTTTAAATGAAATTCAAACACAATGTATTTTTGTGGCTCTTTAAAGTGTGGTGACAGATGGCTATGGTGAACCAATCATCTCTGCCTCTTTAGTACTAGTTACAGAGCAAATAAACATGAATGAACATCAGAAGACACAGAACAACTTACTGGAATGAATGATGAATAATGTAATCGATCAATAAGTGTTTCAGCCTGTGATCAATAATGTCACATAATGTCACATTTACCTCGTGAAAGACATTCAATAACCATAAACTCCATGGTCAGCTAGAAGAAAAAAAAACTCTATAGAGGAGCATTTTAATCAGTATATGCACTATATTACATATGCATTATATCTTTACTTGCCTTTATTATTTAATGCATTATTTAATGCATCATATATAAAGTGCAATTTAAAAGTTTCTATGAGTGTTGACTATTAAAAAAATTTGATTATTAAATTGATTATTACATTAATTGATTATTAAATTAAATATGAAATAATTTAGGTGAAAAACCATTATTTCTTTACGTCTCTTAATGCACTGCACAACACCTGCATGTGCAGCTATAAAGACCTTTTCCAACTGAATGAGTTGGAAAACACCATGAAAACTCTCAAAAAAGCATCAACATGGCATTTCCATAGCTTAAGGTTAGAGAGGCTTAAATAACGGCTAGCCAGCAGCCTGTAGAGCAGGAGTGTGTGTTCTGAACTCAGGCTTACACACTCTTCACACGTTACTGCGGTCTGGAGAAATGAGATCGTAATGATAATTACAGCTTCCAGTGGAACTGAATCCAGCCGACGAGCTGGTGCCCTTTCACCCATCACGTCTGCAACAGTTCAGGGATCAAAGGTCAAACGGAAACCCGGCATTCACACACACACACACACACACACACACACACACACAAACACATGCTGCCACCCACCCACCACGCAAACACGCTTCCTCTCCAGGTGTCAGACTCTGTGTGTGTGTGTGTGTGTGTGTGTGTGTGCGCGTTTTTGTGACAAATGAGGACATAAATTTGTATAATGACAAAGGTATGACATAGGTATTACAAGGAGAAGGTGACTTTTCAGGACATTACACCATGTCCCCACTTTTCAAAACGCATATAAATCACACAGAATGGAGTGTATTGAAAATCTGAAATAGCACAAAGTTTCCTGTAAGGGGTAGGTTTAGGGGTAGGGTTGGTGTAGGGCAATAGCACATACAGTTTGTACAGTATAAAAACCATTATGCCTATGGGATGTCCCCACTTTTCACAAAAACAAACCTGTGTGTGTGTGTGTGTGTTTTTGTGACAAATGAGGACATAAATTTGTATAATGACAAGGGTATAACATAGGTATTACAAGTAGAAGGTGACTTTTCAGGACATTACCCCATGTCCTCACTTTTCAAAACGCTTATAAATCACACAGAATGGAGTGTATTGAAAATCTGAAATAGCACAAAGTGTCCTGTGAGGGGTAGGTTTAGGGGTAGGGTTGGTGTAGGGCAATAGAATATACGGTCTGTACAGTAGAAAAAACATTACGCCTATGGGATGTCCCCACTTTTCACAAAAACAAACCTGTGTGTGTGTGTGTGTGTGAGGATTTGGATTCATCCAAGTGAATAGAATCTTTTGAATCTATTCATTAAAATATTCATTCACTGATTCACTGAGTGATCCTTTCTGATTCTCTTTCTCACTTTCTCTCTCATTTGTGTGCCTGTAAATCCACAAATAGATACAGTAGAATGATAGATAAATAGACAGAAAGATAGACAGAATGATAGATAGGATAAATGACAGAATGAACAAATGATGAGCGAACAAACCAGCAACAGAATGATAGATTGATGGATGGATGGAATGCTAGAAGAAATAATGGATGGATGATGGAATGATAGAATGACAGAATAAAGAAGAATGATAGAAGAAACAATGGATGGATGGAATGCTAGATGCAACAATGGGTGGATGATGGAATGATAGAACAACAGAATAAATGATGGATGGATAGATAGATTGATAGAATGATAGAAGAAACAGATGGATGGATGGAATGACAGGAAACAATGAAGGGATGGAGGGAATGATAGAATGCTAGAAGAAACAATGGATGGATGGATGGATAGAATAACAGAAGAAACGGTGGATGGATGGATGGATGGATAGAATAACAGAAGAAACGGTCGATGGATGGATGGATGGATGGATAGAATGACAGAAGAAACGGTGGATGGATGGATGGATGGATGGATAGAATAACAGAAGAAACAGATGGATGGATGGATGGATGGATGGAATGACAGAAGAAACGGTGGATGGATGGATGGATGGATGGATAGAATAACAGAAGAAACAGATGGATGGATGGATGGATGGATAGAATAACAGAAGTGCTAGAAGAATGGAGGGATGGATG